CCACGTTTCTGGATAGCGTCAACCGGATCAGCCCCTAGGCTTGTCGATCCTTGAGCTTCCACTGTTCTGTGGTCATGGTATCCGGCATCACTCCCGACAGGGGTTCATGAAGATCTTTCTGATATAGATAAACTTCAATCTGCATTTTCCAGAAACCGAAATCAGATCCATCGAACTTCTCAATTCCAATCTTTGAACTTTTCATCTTCACAGATCGTGGTGACTTCTGCTTAGCTCTGATACCAGTTGTTAGGATCGAACAACAATGCACACACTTGATCTAGATGAACACAAAAAACAAATAGAGAAAATTCAAGGAGAACTCTGGCTAAAGGATTTATATTGATGACTTCAAGTATGTACAGTAAGAGAGAATACAAAGAATACAGAAAGTACATTTTCAAACCTCTACCGGACAATATATATATATAGTTGAGTTTACTATATATAGTTTTACCATATTTAACCATCTACTATATATAGCTATTTACTATATATTACTTTACCAGATTTAACCATCTACTATATATAGCTATTTACCATATATAGCTTTACCGGATATAGCTTTGCCAAATATAGCTTGACCGGATATAACCATTGACCAAGCTATAAATAAGCAGCAGGCTCCATAACCTAACAGATGCTTGAATTTCTAAGGGTGAAAGTCTCCATTGAGATCTTAATTTCATTAATTCAAATTCTACCTTTTACATAATACTTTGTGGGTATTTATAGTCTCCCCACAAAAGAAACATTCAATTCTTCAAATGCCCACTAAAGAAGTTAGTGACCATAATTTAATCCCGATCCCCTTAAATCACACAAAAGAAGAAGTCAATTTGACCAATAACTTCCACTATTTTTCGAATTGCAAGAATTATGAAATTAAAAATAATAAATAAAGTTTTCTAACAACTTATCAATCAAGTGCACTTTATAGTAACTTCATCCGCTACTTCAACCGTGCAAATATTCACTTCTGAAGCTTTAAATGATCCTTCCTCAATCGAATCAACTTGTAACACATGAAATGATGGTTGAACTGAGTCTATCCAATTTTGTAGATGAAGAATGAATGCTTGTTGAATCTTCTTGGTCTTGGATCGTGTAATAGGTACAATTGGAACATTTGGAACACCGTGATCCTTATCAAAAAAATATACAAGAGATATGCTTTAGAAGTTCAGCATGTTAGAGTGTAAGCAAGTTTCAATATCGATGAAGTCAAATGCCAAGATTTGTGCACATGAAGGCAAAGAGTTGAACGATAAAATGACATACTAGCAACTAGTAGGTAGTCTTATCTAGCTAACTTTAACTTGACCTGATATTTCTTATGCAGTTGGAGTCATGAGTTGGTACATGCAAAGTCCAAAGAAGCCTCATTTTGATGCGGCTCCACGAATCTTGAGATATGTCGAAGGTACAATCGACTATGGTCTTCTGTACAAAAGAAGCAAAGATTACAAGCTAGTTGGATACTATAATGTTGACTATGTAGAAAACCACGATACTCGAAGATCAACCACTGGGTATGTGTTCAAGTTTAGTTCGAGAACAATTTCTTGATGTAGTAAAAGACAATCAACAATATCATTGTCAACTACAGAAGCAGAGTATAGAGTAGCGGCTGGAGTAGCTCAGGAAAGTACATGGTTGAAACTCTTGATGGAAGATTTGCACTAGAAAATTTTCTATCCAATATCACTCCATTGCAATAGCCAATATGTGATTTGCCTAGCAGAAAATCTGGTGTTTCATGCTAGAACAAAGCATCTAGAGGTACACTACCATTTCATTAGAGAGAGTTATGAAGGAAGAAATCGAGATGCAATACATCAAAATAAATGACCAAGTGGCAGACTTGTTTACAAAAGGCAGAATACTGGTAAACATGAGAACTTTTACTGTCAGCTCAACATAGTGCCGCGATTGAGGACTAGTGTTGAGAGGTGATTCAATAGTCAAGTCTAATAATTGTATGAACCTATTGGTAGGAATAAAGCTACCCACATATTTTAGGAAAATGATTTAGGTATTTTAGTAATAAAGATATCTAAATATTTTAGGAAAATGATTTAGATATTTTAGAAAAGATGGTGGAGAAATTTGAGGAATAAATTGTCTAGCCTCTATTACCCTACCATGGTTTTCATCCAAAGAAATACAAAGTAGTAGTTTCTATAGAGTGTCTTATAATCTCTTCTCAGTTGGTATTAATGAAGAGTTATTATCATATTTACATACTTCATGGTGACAAATACTTTAATTTCATCCTCGTCATAATGCATCATGACATTTAATACATGCACATCATCTTAATATGAAATATTATAGGCATGTCATCATCATGCTTCTTATATCATCATGTTGTCATGCATCATCGTCATCAAATCATCATGTTATCGTCGCCATCATATCCTCATATCACATCGTTGTAACGTCATATAACATCATCATAACTTCATACTAGCTTACAACATCATCATCTAAAGTCACATTATCATAGCATCATCATTACATCATTACATCACATAATCATCATATAATATAAGCCTACATGACACGTGCAAGGGCCATAGGGCACGTGTCATCATACATCAAGCAATTCTTCCGACCGAGTCAATAGTAAAGCCACTTACTCGAATATCTAAATTGTTTTTGGTATTTGATTTCTAACTAAAATCTAAATACTTGCAACTAAATTAGAATAAAAGAAAGGAAAATCTTATCATGTTGGTAGAGGTAGAAGTTATTTATTCTTTTAAGTATTTTTTAATCATATGTACATATCTTAAGGAGCTCTCACATTCAAATGTTGTCTCGAACCATCCATGTACACCTCCTCTTTTCAGTGACTCAATTATACGATCTCCAAAATTCAATCCTATGTTAGATGATCTTTTGAGAATCTTCGTAGGAAGCACGTAATTGATGACAAAGCATGCTAAAGGAACCTGTATTGGTACGTGAACATGTCAGATGTCATGTATTTTAGATTCTTTCTCCATTTCTACCCGCTCCATTTTAATCATCTTCGCTATTAATTTATTGAATACGTGAGACGTATTTATGTGATAATGAATTGATATTTTCTCTTTGATTTACTACATTAATTAATTGCCATTAAGGTTAAATAATAAAAAAAAAAAAAAAAGGAGATTTTTTATTGAATTTCGGAATCTAATTTTTGGTTTAGAAAAAGCTAACCATAAAAATTAAAAGAACTTGACGTTTCAAATATTGTATATTTAGCATATTTGTGAAGTGTTATGATCGCACTACTCACACCCTTGATCTAGATGAAGAATATGAAAATAAACTGCCTTAGAATGAATACGAAAACTACGTACGACTTATGGGCTATCCCACTGATGGACCTTCTTTTGGTCATCGAGGCTCGTAGCATAAACACGAAAAATAACAGCTGCTCAATGGCTTTGGACTATTCCACTAAGGGCCTACCTCGCCCTTCTCTCAAACTCACCCTTGAATTCACCCGACAAAATTAGCACTTGCATATTTTCGTTTGAGCTAAGAGGAGCACATCCCAAACGTGGCTATCTTGGTGTACCCTTGACAAGGGGCTCGCAAGCCAAACCACAACATTTTCTTGTTATGGTCACATCCCTTACTGAAACAAAGTCTCTATAATCTTTTAACACAATCCTTTCACTGGTTGGCACTACACTTCAGCTAGCACTCCTCTTGGTCTTGCTGCAACTTCATTTTTCTATGCCTTTTACATCTAGCAGGGTGCCCTTTCTCGAGCAAATGCTAGTTTTGACATTTCTTGTGAAATCACCCATCTTAGGCACGTAGTGTTAGCTCAAGGAATATATTATGCTCACTTCTTAGAGCACTTCCACGAGTGTCACACCTCTCTCGTGCTCACTCTCTCAGAGCCTCTACTTCATTGGCCTCCTTCGCAAATCATCTAAATCGTTATCCTCCTTGACTTAGTGCATAAAACGCCACCACACAATTCTCCCAAATCGAATCAAAATCCATCTTTTTCTCCTTCAACATCTTGACCAAACAATCCTCTCATACACATTAAGCATCGTGGATGTCTCATCAACACATGTAGCGATATTGTACATAATTAGTAGTATTTGGCTAGCAAAGCCTTCCATTTTTGTCAATGTTAACAGAATCGGAACAACGTCGAGTTTCCTTAGTTTGACTCAGTTGTTGGGTTTAGAGTCGAATTTTATAAACAAAGGTCTGAATCGTTCCTCCTTCTCTCACTTTCACATCGAAGCACATTCATCAACACCGATAACCCGCCAAGGATTCCAATTTCCATTTTGTTCTCTCATCTAAGAATAAACTAAACAAGGAACCGGCAGCGTGTTCTAGCAATTTGGTGGATCCAGCATTTAAAACGTCAATTAAGGGCAAACGAATCCAGCAGCACACGATCTTTAATTTGTTTCATTTCTAGAGAGAGAGAGAGAGATTCACGACAGATGCTCCGACATTGATTTGTTTAAAAATACAAACTTTGAGGTTTTAAAACTTTCATTAATACCCTTATGTTATGGAAAATTATGAAAATGCCTCATGCTAATTTTTATACTTTCCACAGAGTTAGGAAGAAAATATCCATGTTAGAACTCAAGTAGGACAAATTGGTTGAGTAAGTTATGCACGTTATGAATAATAACCGAAATACTCCTAGGTCGAGATTTTGAGACTTATGTTGTTCTATATTTTTGAAGGATGAGTTAAAATTAATTTAAGGTTGAAATTTATATAATCATTAATTTAAAATTTAAATGGATAAAATTTACTTTTATTTATTTATTTCGTAATTAAGTTAAAGTATAAAGATAAATATATTTGATTAAAGTTTTAGAGTAAGGAGAATAATTGAGGGGAAAAAGATAAAAAATTGAAAATGGAAAAAAAAAAAAAAAAAAAAAGTAAAATAAAACGCGGTTTGAGGTTCTCCACCGCTTACTGAGTTGTCTCACTTTGGCGTTTCCTTCACTCTCTCCCACACATTCTCTCTCGCGCTCTCTCTCCCTCTCTCTCTGCCGTCTGCACTCACTCACACACACACACAACTCACTTTCTCTCTCTACATCAGTAGCTGAGCTCTAGTGAGAGGGAGCTCCATTTCTTCTACTTCTCTACCCACTTCCCCCACCTCCGATCTGCTTCCGTTTCAACCTATTATGCCGCACTAGTCTTTCTCTTCCTCTCTCTAATGTCCTCTTCCGACCCCAAATCCCGCCAACGTCCGGGTCCATGGCCGCCCGCGCCGGACTCCTCTTCAATGCCGCCGGCTTCTTGGGCCAAACGCACCGGCTTCCGTCCCAAGTTCTCTGGCGAGACCAATGCCACTGATTCCGGCAACCTCGCTCTTCCCCCGAGGTCGAAGGATCCCCATGCCCACACGGATCTTGAAGCCGGCCGTCTCCGGGGAAGTTCTGCCGTTAATGGAGAGCAGGAGAGTGTGAAGGCGGCTCAGCCGCAGTTGGAGAAGGCTAAAGATGAGTCGGTGAGGAGGAGGAGGGATTCTGATAGCTTACCGAAGGGTTCTGCTCCTGTACAGAATGGACAAACGCTGCCTCCCCCTCCGCCTTCCGAACCGGCGAATCAACCACGGCGGCCGGCTAGAAATGAGGATGTGGTGGATGTTCTGCCGCAGATTGGGGATGATGATGGATTTGTGGCCAGACACTCGCACATGAAGTACGAACTCAGAGATACGCCTGGTCTTGGTGAGTTCTTACTCTTTCTTTTTATGCAGATAAGAACACTAAGACGAACACTCTGTTAGTTTAATTGTAGGGTTTGCAATTTGTAAGTTTCGTAATGGGAGGTCATGGCTGATATGATTTTGTTTGTTGTTGCTCAAAATTTCAGTCCCGATCGGTCTATATGGATTCCAGCATTATATTTCGATGTTGGCTTCGTTGATTCTTATTCCGCTTGTTATTGTTCCTGCAATGGGTGGCACTTACGTAAGTAGATTGAAGTTTCTTGTTTGAAACTTTTTTTTCTCCTTTTTAGACTTTTATTTGTGCAAATTCCTTGATCTGATTGGAGTTAGTGGCTTATAGGAGGATACTTCAAATGTGGTATCGACGGTGCTCTTCGTGTCGGGCATCACTACCCTTTTGCATACTTCTTTCGGCTCAAGGTTACCATTGATACAAGGTCCATCATTTGTTTTCCTGGCTCCAGCATTGGCAATTATCAATTCCCCTGAGTTTCAAGGACTTAACGGGAACGTATGTTTCTCTTTTCCTCAGTTTTTTTGTTCTTTCTCATTGCATTAGGGATTATGAAAATTAGCAACTCCTAAGGGACGACGAGCTTTACTTTTCCGTTCAATTCTATTGATTTGTTTTGCTTCATAGTATATGGGTTCTGTCTGTCAAAGCCTTTAATGAAGATGTTTTCAAACATGTAAGTCCATGGCTGTGTTTTAAGATGAAGATTATGTTTTATGGAGTTTAAACGCTTATTTCTGTGTAGAAATGATTACGCTATGATGACGGTGATGACTCTAGGTAATTAGAAATCTAGGGTCGTTACAAGTTATCTCGCCGCCTCACTGTTACTAACACAGTTGCCCCTCTTCCCACCAGTTTTGAACTTTAGTGTGGTATATATAAGAGTATCATTGGTCTTAACTTCAGTCTACTTTTTGTCTTTCACTTTTATTTATTTTATGCCATGCTATTTGAAGAGATTAGTTGTTTGAAGGAAGAACAATTCGGATCATGACCTTAACTATGGACGAAGAAACTGAAAGTCCTAGCTTCATACTGGACTTATTTTTATTGGCCATGAACGTGACATCTTATTCATTGAGAAACGAAATAATGCAATAAATTTATTCTCTCTAGTCTCGACCGATATGTTTTATCTTTACTTGCCCTAAATTCAAGAAATCCCTATTTTAAAGATTTTTTTATACTTTGGTGAATCGTACCAGATGTTGTATTCTTTTTTATTAATGCTTGCAGAATTTTAAGCACATAATGAAGGAGTTACAAGGTGCAATTATCATAGCTTCAGCTTTTCAAGCAATACTTGGATATAGTGGACTGATGTCACTGCTTTTGAGGTATGATTTTGTTGACTTGTAACGACTTTCTGCTCACACATTACACGAGTAAGTAATTGATTTATCTTTTTCAGGCTGATCCATCCTGTAGTTGTGGCCCCAACCATTGCTGCTGTTGGACTTTCGTTTTATAGTTATGGTTTTCCACTAGTTGGTGCCTGTCTTGAGATTGGTGTAGTGCAGATACTGTTGGTTATTATATTTTCTCTAGTACGTTCATCTACATAGATTTTTTTTTTTTTTGCCATATTTTACCATTTAAATGAAAAATAGTGACAAACATTATGCAATATTAGTCGTCATGCATCTGTTTTCAGTCAAATTACAAACAAATTACTAACACACTCTCCATGAATTCCACAGTACCTCCGGAAGATATCTATTCTCGGCCATCGGATTTTTCTAATATATGCAGTAAGTGAGAGGAGTTGCAATGTTTGAAACTGATAGTTTCCTGATAATCTTCTTTAAGGTTGTCTTCTAACATCCATAGGGTCGATCATGATCTTATATTCCATTGCCAGGTTCCACTTGGAATTGTTATCACGTGGGCTTTGGCGTTTTTGCTGACTGAAGCTGGAGTTTATAGTTACAAAGGTTGTGATACAAATGTTCCTGCCTCAAATATAATATCTGATCACTGCAGAAGACATGTTTCAAGGATGAAGCATTGTCGAGTTGATACTTCTCACGCACTAAAATCTTCACCGTGGTTTAGATTTCCATATCCGTTACAGTGGGGCACTCCCGTCTTCCACTGGAAAACAGCAATTATTATGTGTGTTGTGTCTGTCATCTCATCTGTGGATTCGGTTAGTAGTCTCTTGTTTCTAGTCTTCTTCTTTTGATCTTCATTAATTATATAATCTTTCTAGCAGCGCATTTTTTTTTTTTTTTTTTTTTTTTTAAATTTTCTTATGCAGATATGTATGCGTACGTGCTCATATTATGTATTTTTGAACAAGAGACAAGCTCACATATGAAAGTAAATATAAACTTCAAAGATACAAACTTCTGAAAGAGGGAGAAAGAAAAAACATAACACCCAAAAAAAAAGAAAAAAACAAACAAAATAAAGGAACCAAAGAACAGCCAACTAAAAATAATAACTGCAAAACTAGAAGATAAAGCACCACAAACTCTCAACTGAAACTTTAGTGGGAAGCTCCTCAAAGTATTGAAGCTTCAAACAGAAACCGCACCAACCAGCTTGAAACATCACAACATAAAAGGAAGAGAAACAGCAACTTCCAAGGAGAAAAGCTCGAATACCCCAAGGAAAAAGAATGAAACAACAACAAAAGCCCTATCATTGCCGAACTCAACTCTGAAGAAAACCACAAGAAGCAGCAACTTCACCCTATAACTGAAAACCGATGAGCAAGACAAACCACGACAACCACTTCGGCCCAACTAATGACTAATGGATTCCAAGGAGAAAACAGCATATCAAATGGCCAAAACACTAACCTCAAGAAATCATCTAATAGATTTCATTGCCACATTCTTTTAGAAGGGAAGAAAATTTTTCTTTTTCATCTATTGTGTTGATGGAGAGGGGGAGGAGAAGACTCATCTGATGGCTTCTTTAAAGGTGAATTAAGTTCTCGAAAAATGAAACTTAGAGGTTCTTCAAAATCTTCATCAAGAGCTTCACCAGATACCTTTTCATGCCAATTAACCATTGGAAAATTGAACTCCAAGCCACCACTATTAAGACTTCATACTGAATCCTCCTCTGACTCCCTCATCTTCCACCAAGAAATCTGAATTTTTGATGGCCCCATTTATTGAATTAATAAACCCCTTAGAAAGAGTTACTACAAGATGTTGAAGATTAAGAGTTTTGTTGGGACACTGAAGGCTCCTTATTTGAAGAAGAATTCAGTTTGGTTATGTGCGGAAAGACCCATTTAATGGGTGCATCTCTCCAATTAAATCTTGATTTTGGGTTTTGTCTTAACACATATGATGCACGAATACAGATATGCCATGACACAAGCGCGATGAAACATCATTCTTTGAAAATCTTGGACATGGACCCAAAAATGACACATTTATTAAAAAAATACATCTTTTAAAAACATATATTATTTTTATTCCAGAAAGACATTCAAAATCATGAAATTTATGCATTTATATGCTAAACAAATGAGTTTGATGTATTTTACTCCATTTTTGAAGACTTCTGTCATTTATTATTATTGTTGCAACACAGTTAAAAGTGAGGAAGAGTGTTGCAGTACACCTATCAACTTAAGTTTGATTTGATTGATGATGTAACAATTATATATCTATTTAGTATACTTAACAAATATTCATTATGTATCTAACAAATGTTGGACCTATATTGACTTTGGACAACTAGTGAGTAACACATTTAGGACGTGTCCAACTAGGTAGGGTCATTGTCCAAGTGTTGAACATGGACATGCTAGCCAAGCTAAAATGTATGTTTAGATGAATTTGAAAATGTAGTGTTTGTTATCTTTTTTAAAAAAAGAAAACAAAGAAAGTCAAACCTAAGGATCATTCTTTCTTGATAAATTTAGCCTTTGAATACTAAATTGTTTTACTAATTTGTCAGTCGGTTTTTTTCTTTTTCTTTTTTTTTTTTTTTGGTCCTCTTATGTTCAATATTCACACACTTTCAACCAACCTAACTTTTCTACAATACTTTCTCATAAACATCTCACAAAGCTTTCTCTCTTGATCCCTGTCTCATTTGAATTTTCTAGTGGTTTGGTTCTTCATAATCAATGAGGTTATTGTTTTTTTACCAATTTATGACGTTTTTCACACTGTAGGACTTCTCCCACTATTCCATTCCAACTTAAACTTAATCTTCGAAATTTGCACACTATTTTATTTGCCAGATCACCGTCATCATTTTACTGTAAAGAAAATTTGAAACAAATTTAAAGTTCATGGGTAAATATCTAGAATTTCGTAAGCTTAGCTGATTGGAATCTACCCTGGTTGAGGTGAGGGGCATTTTGCAAAATTTAACCAACAAAACATGAAGAACTCTAAATAAAGGTCCATGGTTCTACGACATTGATCCATGAGGCTACCAATGAAAAAAAATATACATGTTTTTCAGTAATTTTAGGCTTCCTGAACTTAGTAAAGAACATGGAAGTTGAAGGGAGAGATTACGTAATCATAGAGGTGATGAAAATTTTTAAAGGACATGCAAATTGATTGCCCTAGGGTCCAAGGAATGGTTAGGGGCAAGATGAACATAGTGTAATTTGATATATAATGTGGATAATCCAAGGTTTCATGTTCTTGCTGAGGTCTCCTAAAATGGAAATAGGAGGTGGCGAAGGAAAATTGTACTACGAGGCAAAATTGAAGAGTTAATACTCTTGACTCGCTTAAGAGAAAGATGCCCTTTTTAGTTGGGCCATCTTGCTATGTTTTTGTCACGTGGATCATATTCTTTGGAGCTGTCTTGCTATGTTCTTTGTCGGAGGGTGGTGTAAGCCTTGGATAATATTTTGTGGAGATGTGCTTTTTCTCAATCTGTGTGGAATTATTTTTTGATGTGTTTGGCCATCTGTCGTCTCTTGAGAAGGAAGATTTTTGTAGCAAGCCAAGGTTTGTGCTATTTTGTGGGGTCTTTGGGGGGAAGAGGAATAATAGAACTTTTGGAGAAATTGAGAGGGGTCTGTATGACGTTTGGTCCCTAGTTAGGTCCTATATTTCTCTTTGAGCATCGGTAACAAAGTTTTTTGTAATTGTTTCCTGTGTCTTATTCTTCTTGATTGAATATGAAGTCATTTTATTTTGCTGGACCCCTTATGTGGACTTTGTTTCGATGAAAACTGGCTTTTTATATATAAAAATTAAAAAAGCTAAAAGGAAACTTGGTGATACATTTTCCACCAAGAGCTTGATAGCATAACAAAATCGCTGAAGATTGAGATATAACTTACCCAAGATTCTTGCTTGACGCACCTATCCCATGTACTAGTAGTGACTGCACGTGCAATAATCTTTTGTCATAAGGTGTCCGATTCTAAACCGTTTATGTAAGCCACATAGTTGGAAGATCAAAATTCTTATTCACCTAATCCCTTATAACAACTTATCCTTACCTTCACTCCTTTTATCTTGGTCTTGGTCGTAACCCAAAAAACATTTTGTTTTGGAAACCTTTTGTGGATAAGGTTTGTACAAGACTTACGTTTCTTGACAAAGAAGTTTTCTCCAAAGGGGTAAGATTGACTCTCATTTACTCGGTCTTGACTGGAATCCCTATCTACTTTTCAATCTACTTTTTGTCACCCTTTAGAGCTCTTTGTTCTATGTGTAAGAAACTAGAGAAGGTTATGAGAGTTTTTTTCTTTTTTTGTGGAAAGGGATTGATGGGGAAAGGCAGCCATCTTGTGCGTTTGGAGATGGTGGGTAGCCGGTGAACCTAGGGGTTTAGAACTTGGAATTTAAGGGCTCATAACAAAGCGCTTTTGGCTAAATGGCTTTGGTGGTTTCCCGCGAGTCTACTATCTTGTGGTATATGATTATAGCATTCTTAGTAGATATGGGGTGGGGTCAAATGCACATACAGAATCCTGTGGAAATAAATATCTAATGAGCTCCCTACTTTTTCTCATTATGTTTAGTGTTATGTGGGTGATGAGAAGGAAATGTAATTTTGGGAGAATAAATGGGTGAGGGATAAACCTCTCTACTTTACGTTTCTCTTTTTGTATCACTTGACCTTATGAATATTGCTCGGGTGGCTGATATCTTTGTTCATTTTGAGAGCTCTTCCTCTTTATTGTCGGGTTTCCATTATCCATTGTTTGATAGGAAAACAATAAATGTCATGACTCTCTTATCATTGATATGGGAGTCTGAGATTAACACGTCGTGAAGGGATATTTGCTTTTGGAGCCCTGACCCTACAAGAGGCTCTTCTTGCCACTTGTTCCTTTATAGCTTGTTGAAACCTTTCTCCTTCTAGTGAGTCTGTTTTTCTTCCTCTCTATAGAAGATGAAAATTCAATGAAGGTTAAATTCTTCGCGTGGAAGACTATTCATGGAAGAGTTAACAGTTTAAATTGGCTACTGTAGTATCTGAAGAAGTGAACCTTAAGATTGTCCCAAAGAATGCCCTCAATATATCATCTGCCCCCCTAGCGAGATGTTTAAATTTATACACTGGTTTGAGCTTTGGTGGTTTGTAATTTCAAGTTAAGCCTTATCCTTTTGGATTGAAGCTATTCTTTGTTGAGCTCCCTTTGTTAGGCTGATTTTTTTTGTACGCCCTTGCATATTCCATTGAAGTGAAATCTCTTATTAAAGGAGAAACAAAAAAAAAAAAAAACAGAGAGAGAAAGGGACAGCGCTAACGGCATCATGGGGAACAAGGAAAGCACCAGAGCACACCATAAGGGATCAGCCCTTGAGCTTTCTTGACTTGTCATAATTAAGGCGAGAAATGGTTTAAATTTAAAAGAGATGCAGAACGTTATCATGGTTCACAAATGAATCTTCCCTCTCAGAATGGAAAAAAATGTCATCATTAGCAAGTTGGGAGAAATATAAAAGTTTGTCTATTCCACAACCTTTGTGCTATACCTCTATGTATGTTCCCTTAAGTCTAGTAGAACATCCACAATCACCCAAAAATGGAAGGAGATAGAGTCTCTGGTGATCCTGTAGTAAGAATCGTGCTCCTAGGCTTACTGGTGACCAATCAAGACGATGGAGAGAAATTTGCTGAAGATCCCTAGTTAAAAGTTAAATCCTTGAGAAACGCTGTAGAATGCTTTTATCTACATGATCATCCGTATTTTCAAAATCAATTTAAAAATGATCCCTAATATGGTTCCTATAATTCTCAATTGCTATGTTGCCTATAAACAACCTGATCTACTATCTAGTTTCTGATGACAAATGCTTACCCTGATTATTAAAAATGATGCTAGGTAAAATTTTCCCATAGAAATCTAACATATTCAACCGTAATTGAATCTATGTTTCTTTCTTATGGAACTTCAAAAAGAATCTTAAATAATCTAAATAGATCCTCCTCAATTACCTCCCAGTTCTCCTAAAGAAGCCAAAGTGAGATCATCCCAAGAGCAAAATAAACCAACGAAAATAATGCAAAAAACAAGGAAAGCTCAAAAGAGTTAACTCAGTAATGCTTTTTTTTTTAGTGAGGTGAATCTGACTTGAAATTATGGGGGGGAAAAACTAGCTGAAGAAAAATTCCAGGTTTAGAAGTGTAATCTGTGAAGAACTGTGAATAGTTGCCAGTGCCTCTAGTTCCAAGATTAATTCCTGTTGCTGAATTTACAAGAGAAATACAGATTTCTTTATATCCTCTCCTATCTTTGATCATTTAAGAGTGAGGGACAAGGTCGTAGGCACCATTTCTTCAGCTGTTTTTATAGTAAAATTTGGCAGCCCACTGTCCGAATATTTTTGGTTGTAGATGTCTTAGGCTTCATGGCAGGGAAAAAAAAAAAAAAACTTTTATGTTTAATGATTTGGCATTGTTTTGTCAGCACAGCAAAAAATTTCTTCTACATAATATTTATTACCCATGTAGTGTGTACATTTTTCATGCTTACCTTTGAGTGAAACTTTTTTTTTTTTTTTTAATCAATGCTAACTTCATTTAGTTTCTAAATCACAAATCTAATTTATTCCTGAACCACTCAGGTTGGTTCGTATCATGCAGCTTCATTATTGGTGGCATCCAGACCGCCATCACCTGGTGTTCTTAGTCGAGGAATTGGACTGGAAGGTCTTTGTAGTATTTTGGCTGGTCTATGGGGCACAGGAACCGGGTCTACAACTCTTACTGAAAATGTTCATACTATAGCAGTTACAAAAATGGGAAGCCGCAGAGCAGTTGAACTGGGTGCATGCATTTTGATAGTGTTATCTCTTGTAGGTGAGTAAATTCATATTGGGTGCATGCATTTTTTTTTTTATAATTGGGAATGACTTTGTAGGATCCAGTTTTATCAGTATGTTAGAAACGCGCGGGATTTCTTGTGCAATTATTATTAATGTGCTTAGTGCTCTTTTTTCTTCAAATATAAAAATATATTGGACTCGTCATTCTGAATGAATTTGAGCTAGCTTGATCACAGAGTTGGTGCCCATCTCTTATAGCTTATACTTCCTTCTTTAGGTGTGACCTGTCAGATCTCACATCGGTTGGGGAGGAGAACGAAACATCCTTTATAAGGGTGTGGAAACTTCCCCCTAGCAGACGTGTTTTAAAAACCTTGAGAGGAAGCTCGAAAGGGAAAGCCCAAAGAGGACAATATCTCTTAGCGGTGGCCTTGGGCTGTTACAAATGGTATCAGAGCCAGACACTGGATAATATCTCTTAGCGGTGTGTTAGTAAGAACGCTGGGCCCCGAAGGGGGTGGACTGGAGGGTCCCACATCGATTGGAAAAGGGAACGAGTGCCCGCGAGGACGTTGGACCCCGAAGGGGGGTGGATTGTGGGATCCCACGTCGGTTGGGGAGGAGAACGAAACATCCTTTATAAGTGTGTGGAAACCCCCCCAGCAGACGCACTTTAAAAACCTCGAGGGGAGGCTCGAAAGGGAAAGTCCAAAGAGGACAATATCTACTAGCGGTGGCCTTGGGCTGTTACATGACACATGATTAATTTTTATTACCTTATGACAGTTATGTTCTTTTAGCATCATGAAGTCGATTTCTATGATGATAGCTTTGTCTTTGGGTGGAAGTAATTACATCTGTTCTTTCACATTGTCCCTGAAATTGGTGTCCTATCCTTTTAGAGTATTAGGTACTGCTAAATTCTGATTGGATTTTTTTTCAAATAAGAAAACGATAAGGATCAGGATTAATGGGGAATGGCTGCCGATTACTTACTTTATCTCATTACACATTGGCCTAATACTCTATTGGCCTTGTAGGTAAAGTTGGGGGCCTTATTGCTTCCATTCCTGACGTCATGGTTGCTGCTCTTCTTTGCTTCATGTGGGCAATGCTTACGGCACTAGGCTTGTCAAATCTTCGATATAGTGAAGCAGGAAGCTCTCGGAATATTATCATTGTTGGATTATCATTATTTTTCTCACTTTCTGTACCAGCCTACTTTCAACAGTACGGTATCTCCCCAGGCTCCAACATGTCTGTTCCAAGTTATTTTCAGCCGTATATTGTTGCTTCCCATGGACCTTTCAACAGTAAATCGGGAGGGGTATGTCTCTCTCTCTTTCTCAATAACTCACTCTCTATAAGTTAACGAAAGCGGCCGAGACATTTTTACTGTTTTTTTGGTGCCGATATTGGGATATTTTGTTCCTTTTTTCCGATCATTTCTTTAGCAGCTTTTTGTGTAAGTTTCAACTTTTTCTTCATTAGCTATGATATTTAAAATGGATAAGGACGCTGAGATGCAACTTTTCTCGTCCATCCTTGTGCATTTTCCCTTTTATTAAAGAACTCTTCATGTTTCGGTTGCGAATGGATTTCTGAATAATCATTAACGAACATCTTAGCTTTATTTTTTTTGTTTGTGTCTGATCCCCGATTCTTGTTTTGCAGCTGAATTTCGTTCTCAACACATTGTTCTCTTTACACATGGTGATTGGATTCCTAGTCGCCATCATCCTTGATAACACTGTGCCCGGCAGTCGACAGGAACGTGGTGTATATGTGTGGTCTGATCCTGAGACTGCAAGGAGGGAGCCTGCAGTTACCAAAGACTATGAACTTCCATTCAGGGTTGGTCGAGTTTTCAGATGGGTGAAATGGGTCGGATTCTAAGCGACCAGACATTCAACGATTTTATGACCAAGTATCGTTACATATCGGTCATCATTCAGACAACGACGCAATGGTTGTGTACGAAATGTAAGTCCCTACAACTCTCCTCTTCGCATGGTCTATAGTCCTCTTTTGTTGCGCTCGGGGTCGGCGGGGGTATTTTCTTACACGAAGCACATTAGCAGAATAGGTTTGTTTAGTAGGAGATAGCTGTGTACATTTTTTGAAGATCCAGAGTGATCTGGGTTTGTTGTAATTTAGATTATAAAATGTTGTGTGTACTACTAGTTGACTAGTCTGGATTTTCATGCATTTTGTGCAAGTTTTGGGGGTCCCTCCATCCTGGGCAGGTCCATGTATATTTTTCTTCTTCCCACTTATTTAATTACCTTCTTTCATTCTTTCTTTCTTTAGGGATTTCGAGTTCCAATTCTTATTATTTGTGAGAACCGAATACTTCGGTTCTTAAGGAACGTCGATCTTAGCTCATCTCTTTCATCTTTTCGGGTTCGAACGCTTGAGATCATATCAATGTTGATTCATTCTTAAGTCGTTTTCAGGTGCTCATGGTTTAGATAGAGTATGGATATATTTTGTTGATTAAATTAGTCTAATAGTGGGCAGCTGGTTTGCGTTGGTTTATTGGTTTGGTTCGTAATTCGTTTGGACTGGTTCAGTTGACCCTCGAGTCGGTCTATGAGTTCGAGTGAAGACAAAAAAAAAAAAAAGAAAAAAGGGTGAAAAGACATGTATGGCCTCCATTGGGAATGGTCAAGGGATGCATGAGGTAGCAAAGGGAGAAGTGGTCCAAGGGCGTTCTTGAATGAATAAACCAACTCCAACAAGGTCATTCTAATAATGCACGTGTTTTGTGAGTTTAGATTATTATTCCATTAAAATGTCTCTTCAGTCTTTATTATTATTATTATTATTATTATTATTATTAATTTCCTATTTTAAAATTGTATGTTGACTCACTTATTTCGACGGTTGTGATTTCAACTTAATAACCTTTTACTTGCAATCAGAAAAAGAGAACTAAAGGATTCTCTTGTTTTTTCTTTTTCTTTTTTTTATTTTTTTTTTATTTTTAAATTTGTAAAACTTCAATGATTTAATTTTTAGGGGAAATATCTTTTCTTTTTTTTTTTTTTTTTTTATTTTTAAATTTGTAAAACTTCAATGATTTAATTTTTAGGGGAAATATCTTTTCTTTTTTTTTTTTTTTTTTTATTTTTAAATTTGTAAAACTTCAATGATTTAATTTTTAGGGGAAATATCTTTTCTTTTTTTTTTTTTTTTTTTATTTTTAAATTTGTAAAACTTCAATGATTTAATTTTTAGGGGAAATATCTTTTCTTTTTTTTTTTTTTTTTTTATTTTTAAATTTGTAAAACTTCAATGATTTAATTTTTAGGGGAAATATCTTTTCTTTTTTTTTTTTTTTTTTTATTTTTAAATTTGTAAAACTTCAATGATTTAATTTTTAGGGGAAATATCTTTTCTTTTTTTTTTTTTTTTTTTATTTTTAAATTTGTAAAACTTCAATGATTTAATTTTTAGGGGAAATATCTTTTCTTTTTTTTTTTTTTTTTTTATTTTTAAATTTGTAAAACTTCAATGATTTAATTTTTAGGGGAAATATCTTTTCTTTTTTTTTTTTTTTTTTTACGGATAAATGTCAATTAAGAAATTAGGATAAAGATAATTTCCATATTTAATTTTTTAGTGGTTGATGTTAATTTATGCATTAATCAAATTTAAACTTGTATAAAATATTACTTGTAAATTTATTTTTTTAATTAAAATTAGTGGGTGAAAATTGTAAGTTTAGACAAAAATTGATACAAAGCTAAAATTTGTATTTTCTCCTGTTTTTATTTAGCATTATTTACTATTGATTTTGGGTTGAATGATTTTTTGAATGTATGGATATTGTAGGATAAGTTAGACCAAGTGAAGCTGAACCTATGAAAGTTGGGTTGAAACAAACTTAGATGTACTGAGAAAAGTCTGAACTATAAGATCATTATTGTTGAAACACTTACAAACTAGGTTGGATGGAATTAATTGATGTATAAATAAGATCTACGATGTTCTTTTAAATACATAAACATTTATTGGATGATATTCCCATTTCAACCAAGGAATTGTATACTATGTTACACCTAGGTTAATTTTACGAGAAGTGTCCTTAACCATACTTTCTTTCAGTTGTATTTTGCGTCAGATTTTTCATCACCATCTATGAAATCGAATCGGCCTCCACTGCATAGGTTGATTGCATTACACCCTCTTTAATATGGGCTGCTTCATGTGTTTTTCAAAGTTCGAGATTTTTAATGCTACATTCAGGATTGGTATTAGTTTTTAGAAAACCACATGTGCATTGATAATCCCAACCATATCAATACAAATCAAGAGAGCACCAATAAGAACGAGCATGCTTCAGCAATATGTCTATTTATATTTTGATAGAACTAATTTAGCTATGACTCCGTTATATCATTTGGATCTAAATGATAACTCCTCTCTATACACAATCACATTTTTGTGCTATTATCTATATGATACGATATTCTACTGAATTTTGTGACGCATTTACTTCCTCTATGCTACTTATAATTGCTATGTTAATGCGATCGAGCTTATGTCTTGAGAGACACTATGATATACCATGTATGATATGCCCGAATGAAATACCATGAACAAATACGTATTTCATTGAACTTTTTTTTTTTTTTTTTTTTTTTTTTTTTTTTTTTTTTTTTTTTTTTGCGCGTAACCTCGGGTTTTTTTTTTTTTNTCTCGTAATATTAAGAAAAATAAATTTATCGAGGTTATTAATAATATTATTTTGGAGTTGGGATAATATTGCATAGTCCATTTCATGGTTGTTGGATTAAGAAATATGTCTCATTTTTTTTCTTATTTTTCTTTGGAGTGTTCAGACTTCACCAACCAATTTTATGGTTTTATTTTATTTTATTTTATTTTTAATTTAAGGAAGGCTTCAAAGAAAAAATTCCATTATTTTCTTTTACCCTATAATTTTGTGGGACCCACCTCAAAATGGTAAATTAAATCACCAAAATCTTCGGTTAAAATTTTAAACAGAGGTTAAAAAAAAAAAAAAAGCACTTTTGGCCAAACAAAATCATTTTTTTTTTAAATTGATTAATAAAAAATGGCTTGAGTGGAATTATTTATTTAATTAAATTAAAAATACAAATGTAACAAACATTTTAGCAAAAACAAAAACAAAAACAAAAAAAAAAAAAAAAAAAAAAAAACAAAAAACAAAAAACAAAAAAAGAAAGAAATTCATGTGTTCTGAAAAAGCATGTTAAATGTGATTCATGTATTTATTTTGTATATATAAAGCGTCCTTATCTTGCTTTTAAGAAATTTTGGCACAAGAAAAATCAAAAAAGACAGCAAATATATGTTTTTTCTTATAAATAAATACATAAATAAATAATCCATATACTAAATAAAATTTAAACTGTTCGATCGTGTTCAAATTAAAAGATTTAAATATTTTCTTTAAAATAAATAAGGTCAAAAACACTCGTAAACAAACCGAGCATGACATTGAAATTACAAAATCACCCTTTATACTTACAAAATTGTATACGTATTTGACCAATATATCATAGTCAGCTCTCTATCAAGTTAGTAACATCGTCAATCTTACCAGAATTACAAAAAAAAAAAAAAAAAAAAAAACGTCATTTTGTGTCATTTTGTGTCGTGTTTTAAATAAGCCTATAAATGTACATGTTTTATACACCATCATGAATTTAACAGGAAAAGCATCATTTTGTGTCGTGTTTTAAATAAACCTATAAAATGCACATGTTTTATAATTCATCATGAATTCAATGGATAAAACTCTAACTAACCAATTTGAGCATATCTCAACTAGTTAAGGTATATGTAGGAGTTCAAATATGGGCTTACTTGTCATTAAAATCAACCTATATAAACCTACTTTTATATGTATGTAGGTATGTATGTATGTATGTATGTGTATATGTATATGTATATGTATATGTATGTATATATTTATTTTACCCGACACTTGATGACCTCGACAATTTCTTACAACATAGTCACGTTAGTTACTCTACAAGTCAGACATGGTCATGTTACTTACTCTCCACTTTTAAGAGTGAAAACTATCTGCACAAACCGACACGAGTCATTTCAATATATTTTATCCTCACGTCCAACATAGAATTGGTCGAACTAAAACACACTGAACTTACTTTAGAGCTCTTATGATTGAGCCACCGAAAAAGAAGTTGCACCTTATTGATATTGGTAGTAACTTTCAATTCTTTTAATCATTTATTAGTCATCCTATATTTACAGGAGTGCACTCTCATTCAGATATAGTCTCCTAATTTGATTTTAAAAACTAATTTATTTTATTTTAGTTTTAAAAAATTTAGTAGTCTATTTTAGTTTGGACGCCTAAAGTATGATTGACTATATAAGGAACATCCTTGTGGTCATCGTCATTAATCATTAAACAAAAATTTAGGTGTATTTTAAAACCCGACACTTGACCTAATTTTTTCCGAAAATATTTGGCAATTACATAAACGTGTACCCGAATAAAAAAATTATTTGATCTGATTTGTATTAAAACCATACCAAAAATTAATGACAATGACTTCCTTTTTTAATACAAATTTGTGAAATTATTTTGTAAGTTCCATTATTGGCTATTTCTCTTTGCATGTGTATGGATTCTCTCAATTGTTCTTCACAAAAGCTTTTAAAAACATTAGAACGTGGGTTTTTCTTTTCTCGGGATAATCATCTAATTGTAACGGCCCAAGATCACCGATAACAGATATTGTTCTCTTTGAGGTTTTCTTTTCGAGTTTCCCTTCAGGGTTTTAAAACGCATCTGGTAGGGGGAAGGTTCCACACCTTTATAAAGGGTGTTTCGTTCTCCTCACCAACCAACGTGGGATATCACACGAATATTTATATGTGTTGGTCTTTCATGGAACGTTTTTGAAGCTTAAAGGAAATTGTATTACACTTTCATTGGAATTACATATTTAAATTATTTCTTTCTTTATTTATTGTTAATGAAATTTCCTTCTTCATTCACTTTGACCCATCAAAATGTATAAGTTACTAAGAAATTTCTTTTAAATTCTTTCCTAAGTTATGTTTTTTTTTTTTTTCGAGACAAATAATAAAGTGCTTGTACCTTTTAGGGTCACCGTCTTATTTTGTTTTGTTTGACGAAGGAAAAATGTTTTCATTCGGGATTATAACCCTTTTTCTAGTCAAGAGAAGGGACATAGTCATATCGGATTTTAATTTCTATACAATAATTTAACAGATTTCTACGTCAAATGTAGTTTTGAAATGTTTATAAAATGTTAAGGGTAGTATTGTAATTTTTGTTGATATAATATGAGTTTAGGGGTTCGACAAAATAATGCTCCGGTAAAAGTATCATTTCTGTTACGACTCTGGCATGATATGACTGAATATACTTTGTTAAAGATGCATGATGAATGTAATTCAATGTAGTTTGTGTTCCCTAAAAGTATGATAGGAGGTTGGAATACCTTATTTATGCCTTGATTTATGTTCGAACATGATGCTATATGACATAGAGGTTATGAATAATGGATACGTGAGCTTTGGTCTATGATTTACTTTTTCTTGATCCTTGAGACACATTTAGGGTCCCGTTATAATGATATGGGTCAACTAGTACTATGTAGGGACAATTAGAGCCACCATCCATAATCGTGAAATTGCCTCGACGGTTGAGAATCTACTTGGCATATAGGAGTATGATGTGGACCCGTGGTACATTAGAGAGTACTATTGAAGGAGCTCCGGTTGTACTTAATGGAAAGTCTTCCTTGCACTATCTAAGAGCTTGGAATGACATGAGATTATAGAGCTTGTTAGGCACTATAATCGGAGCTTATGGATAGTGCTAGTAGTTATAGGGAGATTGAGAGGTTACTTATACAGAGTGACGGTTCTTCCATACTTTTTAGACTCACCCTATCGCCCGAGATAGACTATGGCACCCTAATTTATGAGTCGGAAGTGCAATGACTAAGCTACTGTTCGTTGGTGGGAGCATGCAGCTACAAGAAAGACCCTTGAACATGTCATACTTTTATATGATTTTTAAACGTTGTTTTGCTTAAAATATATAACATTTTGTAAACGATTTGTAAACATATTTTGTATTTTGTCTCTTTCGATATATGTTTTATTATTTATGTCTGAAATTAATTTCTCGTGTCACCCATTTTTACAAAATTAAAAAACTTTATCCTCCCTTTACTCCCGAGTTTATATGGCAACCCGTAATTTGAAATCTTATAAAACAAATGCAAAGTTGCATGAAACTAGAAGTTTGAGTGAAGATAGAGCCAAAAGTTTAAGTGAAGAAAGAGTTAAAAGATGAGGCTTAGAGATAAAGACATAAAATTTAGTTTTTTTTTTTTTTTTTTTCAATCAAATTTCAAAAAAATAATATTTTTGTACTTGAACTTTAATAAATAATAAATTAAATTTACACTAAAAGTTATAACCGTAAAGATGAGATTGTTACAAAATTGAACGTATAGAAATTAAGTTATTTCATATTAAACTTCCATGACTAAATCTTTTGGACCAATTCTGTAATGACCCGGTTCACCGCTAGCAGATATTGTTTTTTTAGACTTTCCTTCAAGGCTTTCAAGGCTTTAAAATGTGTCTCCCCAACCAATGTGGGACATCACAATCCCTCCTTCGGGGCCCAGCGTCCTCGCTGAGCCTCGTTTGTTTCTCCAATCGATGTGGGACCCCCACCAAATCCGATGTGGGACCCCCACCAAATCCACCCCCTTAGGGTCCAACGTCCTTACTGGGACAAACACTGTCTCATGTCTACCCCCTTTGGGGAACAACGAGAAGGCTGACACATCGTCTGGTGTCTGGCTCTAATACCATTTGTAACGGCCCAGGTCCACTTCTAGCAAGTATTGTCCTATTTGGGCTTTCCTTTTCGAGCTTTCCCTTAAGGCGTTAAAAACACGTCTATTAGGGGAAGGTTTCCACACCCTTATAAAAAGTGTTTTGTTCTCCTTTTAAACCAATGTGGGACATCACAAACTCGAGTTAGTGAGCCGAGCATCTGAATAAAGTTCACAACCCAACCCAACTCAACCTTATATTTTTTTCGATTGAGTTGGGTTTTCAGGTGGTTCTTTTTTTATTATTATTTTTTTTAAAAAAAATCATATTTATCCCGAATATATATTATATTATAACTACAACCTCACAGATTTTAAATATAAACATTCACAAGTCACAATATATCAATAATATCAATTATGAACCTCAAATATTCATCTTAAAGGTAGAGTAGGGTTGAGTTGGATTATAACCGAATTTCATATTTTCCAAAAAGTCAACCCAACCAAAGCAGTAAAAAAATTAACCCAATTCAAATTGGACAGTTTGGAATGGAAAATGTAATTAAAAATAAAAATAAAAGTAAACATAATTATGAAATTTAATATCTTACCCAATATAAAATAGAATAAGGTCGAGTCCGTGACAACGTTTCATATAAAATATTTTAAACCATATTTTACCTATATTAAGCATGTGAGATAGCAATATTTTTTAATTATTTTTTTAAAATTAAATAATTTGTTTTTTTTTTTTTAAATTAAGAAACCCCATAGACATATATTAAAATAAATTAAAAAGAAAATAAATAAATAAATAAATAACACAAACTTTTGAGTAAAGGGAAAATGTGAAAATAAAAATAAAAAATAAAAACAAATAAAAAAACATAATTTCTCAACCAACTTGAAGTTTTTATTTATTATAATAGAGAACACCTTTGTTGAGTGATTCAGTCAACACCCACAGCCTCAGTTCACCTTCCTTTTTCCTTTTCTTTTTCTTTTTTTTTTTATTTTTATTTTTATGTAATTATTATTTTTTTTTTTAATAAATATGGTTTAATTGGAAATATTTTAACAATTATATGAAAAATACTATTTTATAATGTAAGTTGTAATTTTGTTTTAACTCAAAGGTTAATTTAAACCACACGTTTCCTCCTGATTTCACACCCACATATTTTATCCTTTTTATTTACTTTTCAAACTCACCTTTTTTTACATTTATTATAAACTTAACTTAATTTAACATATTTCCAACTAATTTACCATTTACTTTCAAAATTACTTACATTCACCGTTTACTTTCAAAATTACTGACATTCTTTCCAAATTCATAATAATAACATTTTGGTAACCATTTGTAATAAAAGGACAAAAGTATCTAATGACGACCCACTTAAATTATTGAATTCAAACTATAAAAGTTGAGTTGGGTTATATATTGTTTTCCCCTTAAATTGGGTTGGGTTGTGAATTCTATTTGGGTTGCTTGGATTGTGAAGTCCCACGTCGAACGAAATACTTAGTAGTGAGCTTACATTGTTACAAATGGTATTAGAGCCAGACATCGAACGATATACCAACGAGGAGGCTAAGTCCTGAAGGGGAGTGGTCATGAGGTGGTGTGCTAGCAAAAATGCTAGGCCCCTAACTGGATTGAGGGAGGAGTCCCGCGTCAATTGGATAAAGGAACAATTACTAGACGTTGGGTCTCAAAACAGCTGTTGGAAAGGAGAACAAACATTATTTAAAAGAGAGGTGAAATTTTACAAATTTTTAATTTTGAATGTTGGCATGACATTTGACCATATTCCTTTGCTGTGACAAGAGATCTTAAACACTTGAACTTAAAGAGAAGAAGTGCATGTTAATTACTTATTAGGGGTCGACTTAGACCAAGTCCACCATTAGACACAGACAACTGATCTAAAATTTAGAGTTGGTCCAAAAGATTTGCAATCCAATCTAGCCCAATCAGTATATCTATATATACTCAGGTGGTGGTTGGTTAAAAAAATGAGAAAGAGAAGGAGAGAGAGAGATGGGAAATAGAGAGGAGGGTAGGTGTGAGATTTGACCAAACTACCACATAGGGGGGAGAGAGTAAGAAGAAGGCAGCCATCCCATTGTGTGAGAAACTTCCCACCACTTCCCCCTACCTCCCCTTCCCCCCACCCCCCCCTTCCTCTTTCCACTTTCTTCTCCTCTCATTATATATATATATATACACCTAACCAACCCTTCCCCATTCCCAAATCAGCTCCCAAATCAGCTCCCAAATCATCTCCCAATCACCTCAGCAAGCAGCGCTTCCAATACACACAAAATCCAAATCCAAATCCATTTCTCAGCACAGCCAATTCACCATGCACTCTCTTATCCCCACCTCCTCCTCCGCCTTCGCCCCTTCCCACTCCCTCTTCAGGCCCACTCGCCCTCCCACCTCCGCCCGCCCCTTCTCCATCCAATGCTCCTACCGATACGACCCTCTCACCTACCCCAATGCCGTCGGCCCCTCCCGCGCCGACTGGCAGAGCTCCTGCGCCATCCTCTCCAGCCAGGCCCAGATCATCTCTCAGGAGGATCCCCAATCCCAATCCCAATCCCAATCCCAATCCCAATCCCAATCCCCTGCTGCTGACCACATCCCCTCTCTCAACGGCCACAACACCACCCTTGAGAATCTCAACCTTGTGCCCATCCAAACCCTCCACGACTCCACCGCTCTCAAGCCCCAACCCAAGCCCCTCTCCATCACCGACCTCTCTCCCGCCCCTATGCACGGCTCCAAGCTTCGCGTCGCTTACCAAGGCGTTCCTGGTGCCTACTCCGAAGCCGCTGCTGGTAAGGCCTACCCTGACTGCGATGCCATCCCTTGCGACCAATTCGAGGTCGCCTTTCAATCCGTTGAGCTCTGGATCGCCGATCGTGCTGTTCTCCCTGTCGAAAACTCCCTCGGCGGTTCAATCCATAGAAATTACGATCTCCTCCTCCGTCACAAGCTTCACATCGTCGGCGAAGTCCAACTCCCTGTTCATCACTGCCTTCTCGCCCTACCAGGCGTCCGAAAAGAGTATCTAACTCGCGTCATTTCCCATCCACAAGCCCTAGCTCAGTGCGAACACACTCTCACCAAACTCGGCCTCAACGTCACACGCGAGGCCGTCGACGATACTGCCGGCGCCGCTGAGTTCGTTTCCATCAACAACCTCCGCGACACAGGCGCAATCGCTAGCGCCAGAGCCGCAGAGCTTTACGGCCTCGACATCTTGGCGAATGAAATCCAAGACGACTCCGGCAACGTAACGCGATTCGTGATGCTAGCAAGAGAACCAATCATTCCCCGCACAGATCGACCGTTCAAGACCAGCATCGTCTTCGCTCACGAGAAAGGAACCTCCGTCCTGTTCAAGGTTCTTTCAGCCTTCGCGTTCAGGAACATCAGCCTGACGAAAATCGAATCGCGGCCGCACCGGAGCCACCCGATCAGAGTGGAAGACGGCGCCAACGCCGGCACGGCGAAGCACTTCGAGTATCTGTTCTATGTGGATTTCGAGGCGTCCATGGCGGAGCCTAGGGCTCAGAACGCACTGGCAGAGGTTCAGGAGTTCACCTCGTTCCTGAGGGTATTGGGAAGTTATCCCATGGACATGACCCCATGGAGTCCTTCTCGTGAGGATTAGCTCCTTTTTCTTTAATTCTATTTGTCATTGTTTTAATCAACTCACCCTTCATACCCTTTCTTATTTTTTGGACCACCAAAAACAGAGATTTATAAATTGTAATATTCAAAATTTCTATAATTTCTCTCCATTTATTACGTCATTATTCCTATTTAATCCCTTCCAATTTCGGATATTCTTTTGTTGGTTGGTATCATTTGTGTGCGTGCAGCTCTTCACATGGTGGAAGATAATAAGGAGACCTACAAATGTAATTTCAAAAAATATTAATTTTAGTGAATTATTTTTAATTTATATTTAATTTTTGTTTTTATATTTTTAAAATGATGGTAATTTTGACCCCTTAAAAATGAAAAAAAAAAAAAAAGTAAAATAGTATTTCAATCATTGGAGGGCAAATATGTCTTTTTGGTTTTAGCCAAGTGATTGACTTTTGCTCCACCGTTCATATTGGGCAAGAACACACAATTTATTACGATACTTTTAATATGTTATGACATTGTCTTTACCTAACATTGATAGGCAAACCATCGTATAGTTCTATCGATGATAAACAATGATCATCATTGGTGGTTGATTACTCAATACATACCATCATTGGTGGTTGATTACTCAATACACACATCGTGTAACCTTATTACAAAATAATTATCGGCAACCACCTCATGTGATCATTAGTGGCTAGTTATGTAATGACACTAGATTTCTACTTAACTAGAGTCAGTTTAACTTCATCATAAAACATAAATTTCATATTAAAACATAGTCATAGACTTACATGTTCGAAAACATCTTTAAGACAACACGACGAAATACTAAATGAAATAAATAAACATTAAATTTTTTTAAAAACACTCTATTCTAACCTAAGTTTATGAAAATAAATACAACTACTCTATGAATGTGTCATGGTCTTGAATTGCGATGTTTTCGTTAATTGTACCGGAGTGTCTTGCCTTTACTTGAAATGGAATTAGCACGTGACTTGCCTAATGGCTTTGGGATATCCCTCCTTGCACACCCGTGTTGTCTGGTATTGACCTTGAAATATTTTTTTCAACGGAAGATGCCAAGACTCTCACTCATGCTCTGACACACGTGGTACCACCAGGTGGCTTGCTTAGGCCACAACGCCTAAGGGTGGTAGAGAGCCAACACCATGCAACATACTGCCCCTATAGTACATTTTGAGGCATTTCTAATTCTTCTCAATAGATGTCATTTTGGCAAGCGACATACTGCCTTGTGCATAATCCGTCAGGTATCTGATTAACACCAAATTAGATGAGCTTTCATTTTTCATATAGATGAACTTAATTCCTGAGCCACATGCCGAAGCTCATATCAAAATTCTGACTTCTAAGGTTATGGCCCAAGGCCCTACCCAATCCTATTCAAGCTTGTTTTCAACACTTGTGTCACCTCGTTCTCTCGAACCTTGTGTATGCCTCGACTTAGCTTCAATGCACACTCTTGGTGTGTTGGATAATGCACCGTCCTCTTTGGTCTCATCATGGTACTTCTCAATCTTGACACTAGACAACTTTCGTATAGTTGGTTTGGGTGTATGATTTTGGGTAGCTCGGTAACTATCTTCTTCTTTGCCATCATTTTGAGAGTCTGAAAGTTCACGTGCCCAAGTCTTGCATGTCGTAGCCAAGTTTGGTCTGCAAGTGATGTCTATTGGGAGGTGGGCTAGCCTCCAATAGTATCTTGTATAGGTGGTTATGAGACCGTTTTAACTTTATCAAAACGGTTCTATTTCTGTTGAACATCTTGAGGAACGAGCTAGCTAACTCCACTCTACTTCCTTCTTTTTCATATGACCAAGACTAATAATGTAGCTCTTCAAGTATGGGATATATTATACATTGGTCAATAAACATTGGCCGCCATTCTTGCACTGGAACAAGATGGAACCTTTGCCTTGGATTAGTACAATTGATCCATCACCAAACTTCACGTTTCCAATGAGCTTCTCATCAAGCTCCTTGAACTTTGTTCAATCTTTGGTCATGTGGTTGCTTGCTCCATTGTCAAGGTACCATATGTTGGTCTCCACTCGGTCTTCTCCTTTTGTGAGAAGGTTCACCATAACCTTTTCTTCGTTGAGCATCAACAGGTTGGGCATCTTCTTAGCCAACATCAATGTGGGCTCTTGATATTGTGTTTTGCCTCCTCATCTTGCTTCTTGTTACGACACTCTACCACATAGTGTCCATATTTTCCACAAGAGTAACACTTGATCATACAAAGTCTTTCCAGGGATTGACATTGTCATGGGTTTGTGAGGTATTGTCACGGTCTCCTCTGCCACCATGTCCGCGACCACGTCCACGACCTCTGTTTTTCTTGTTATGGCTGCCACTTCCACGACCTCTGTTTTCCTTGTTATGATTGTCACGTCTCTTCGTACTTTAAAAAGAAGTGTCAGCCACATCATTCTTTTTCGTCCGTGCGAGCCACTCCTTATGTGTGAGTAAGATAAGAGGTGTTTTTCCTTCTCTTGTCTTCATAGCCACAAAATCTCTCCCCATGGACCTTAAATCGACCAACGACCTCCTCAACTGGCATATTCTTGAGGTCGTTGAACTGCTTGATGAAAGTAACAATTTGCATGAATCTTGGGCGAACAGCTCAAAGGAACTTCTTTACGACGGAGATCTCCTCCACCATGTTGCCTAATAAATGGATGCCATTAACGATCATCGTCAACTTCATGACAAAGTCGTCTATTGACTCACCGTCCTTCATATAGATAACCTCGAATTCACTCTTCAAGGTTTGTGCATTTGCTTCCTTGACACGTTGCACACCCACATGCATTGTTTGGTAGATGGTAGCAAGAGTCATCTTGTTCTTACGCTCTTCATAGCGTTGAAGCTCTTCATAGCGTTGAAATTTGTTTACTCACTCCTACAAAGTTGTAGGATCAAGCATTAGTAAGGACATCAATTCATAGCGTTGAAATTTGTCTACTCACTCCTACAAAGTTGTAGGATCAAGCATAGGACATCAATTGTTTGGTGAGAGATTTTTATTTCGTTTAGCCTTATTTAAGCATTTTTATCTCTCAATCCATTCATGAATTTTGTTCCGAGAAGATCCATCTATTTGGGATGTTTACAATGTCTTCTGACAAGGGTGCAGCTATGTTGAAGAGACAAATAAACATATCTAAGCAGGATTAAACATGATTTGAACCCACGCCCTTTCAGACTAAAACCTTAATTTGGCACTTTAGACCAACTCGACCATCTCAACATTCATGATTTAAAAAAATTAATTCAATCCCACGCCCTTTCAGACCAGAACCTTAATCTGGCGCCTTAGACCAACTCGGTCATCTCAACTTTGATTTCCACACAAGTACAATTAATTAGTTGCCTAGCACATGAGATCCTCCCAAAATTAAATGTAACTTTATGGTCTTATGCAGTGGTTGCTAGCTAACTTTCATAGATGACATTAAAGATTCGTGATACCATAATGAACAATGATGAGGTCATGTATAATTCAATTCCTAAGCAATGTAATTAGCCTGCCAAGTAAGATAGCATAAAAACTAGTCCACTCTATAACTCATATAGGCAATTCGTAGGATTGTGGCGTGATAGATTAGATGAACTATGCATAAACTCTCACTTGGGTAGCTCGGTAACTTTCTTCTTTGCCACGAGGGTCAAGATTGAGAACAAGTTACTAACCTATAAAGTAATCTTAGGGTCTAAGTAACTTATACATTATTTTAATTTCATATGTTTATACTTAGATTATAATATATGCCAAATTTTTAAATGAAAAAGTATTTTATGGAAATAGAAAAACAATGGTTGTCACATTTAATCACATCACAATCTTCCAACAACGTAGGATTTGACACAAATAGGTTTGAGATTTTGACAAATTCATTGCTTTTCTATTTTGTGTCGTTTTTAGCTATATGAATGAAACTAGTTCACTCCAATTATTAGGCTTAAATTAATACGTAAAATCTCAGAGTCGGGATATGAATCAGGATTTAAAATTTGAGTTTGATATTTGATAGTTTCAATATTCTCTTGTATCCCTTGCAACGTTATCTACTAAATTTGACCTACTTCAAAAAGTAAAGACTATCTTTACAAACCAACACGAGATCTTTTACTATGTTTTGTCATTGCTCAAATGTTTTTTTTTTTTTTTTTTAGGATGGAGGCATTATATATGGTATTAGAGCATAACCTATCCTAGTACGACGTGGTTTAGTTAAAAAAAACAAGATGAAATTTTTTTAGAATCCTACATTCGTGAGGGAGGAGAACGAAACATACTTTATAAGGGTGTGGAAACCTTTCCACAGGAGACCCATTTTAAAACCTCGAGGGGAAGCTCTAAAGAGAAAGCCCAAAGAGAACAATATCTGCTAGCGGTGGGCTTGAACTGTTACAAAATTGGTGGACATGTGACATCTGGGTAAAAAAGAGGTACATATTGAACCAAAACCACAATTGATGAGAGTGATCTCGAAAGATATGTAGTTATCATTGAGAAAAACTTTTAAAATAATAATATGCAAAAACGATTCTACTTTTTCTCTTAAAATAAGGTTGTCACTACATGCATGTCATGATTGTTCTATGTGAAAAAGCACTTAAAATAATTCACTTTAATCGTTTTTATGGACTTAAACCTTCCTAAGTTTATTTCAAATTTAATAGTAGCACCATTGAAAAACATAATTGAAAATAGAGAAAATAACCTCTTCTATCAAAGTTGAAAAGAAATGCAATTGTTATACCCTAATGGAAGGGCTACAACAAATTTAACTGTCTTAGCTTGATTTTCATGGACCTTCTCAACGGACGCTATCACCCATACGTGGGAGTCTTACATTTACCTGGAAAAAGTATTGAATGTGATTTGAGTATTTAAAAATGTTCATTAAGTGACTCACTTTTAGAGTCGAAAAAATACATTCACATACAATCATGGTTCACGGCGAGAACTAACTATTGGAGGAAAATTTTAACTTTGTTGTACAATTTTGTGGAGTGAACCTCTACCATTGAGTCAATACAAGCCGCCTCAACCCCCGATTTCTTCCTGAAAATCATTTCTTATATTGAGGGAAAGCTTCGTATGTAAAAAGTATCATCTCTCGTGCTTTATAGTAG